TGGCATCTTTCCATTTGTCTATGAGGCAGCTTGCATTTCTTCTGAGTTGTTTCCTCATACTGTTAGCAACCACCACACCCCCACTTTTATTTCCTTATCCTTTTTCATTCATCTGTGGGTTCTTGCCTATATTAAGGATAGTAACCTTTATGTGTTATATACTGCAAAATTTTTCTCATTCTGTCATTTTTAAGTCTGTTTATGATGTCTTAAGCCATATAAAATTTTAAAATGTTCATGTCATTAAATATGTCATTCTTTTACTTTATGGCTTAAGTTGTATGGCCTCTTTAAGGCCTTCTGCACTCCTGGACTTAGATAGCAGCAGAGGTTCTGGAACGAGCCTTCCAACCCCATGTTCATAGCCTGGCTGCTCCCACTTCCCAGCTGCATCCTTGTCCTATCTGTGCTTCTGCTGCATAGGCTCAGTGTCTACTTCACAGGGTTGTGATGACAACAAAAGGCATTCACAAGTGTAAGGTGCCTAGGACTCTGCCTGCTTCATTTTATTTTAGGGTCTTCACTAGACCCATCACGTGCCTCCTTCTCTTTCCTAAGGCCTGGTAGCCACATAAGGTGATAAAGGTGACCTCAGATCCAGACATGGAATCTGTCACTTGCACATCCTTACATAATAAAATAAATATCTATTATATACTTATATAATTAATTATATTACAAAAGCTTGTATTATATAAGCACTGTGTGTCAGGAATATCATAATTGCTTTACATAACAATAACCACAAATAATGCTATTAAGAGCTAACATGCAAGGAATGCTTCCTATGTGCCAAGCACTGTTTCTAGCACTTTATACAAATTAACCAGCACAAGAGTCCTCAATCCTTAATGTAAAAATGCTCTCAATCCTTATATTATGTACTCTTGATTCAGAAGCATTTCCTTTTAATTCTCTTGACAATTTTAAGAAGTACGTATCATTACCTCCATGGTACAGATGAGAAAACTGTGGCTTAGAGCAGTTAGGTCACTTGCGCGAGGTCACATGCACTGCAGTGGCAAAGTGAGGCTTCTAAGCCCAAGATGCTAAACAGCCCACGTGGGCTCAATATGGAGTCAGTCAGCACAGTGTGGGTGACTGGGCTATGGAATCAACTCGGAGGCTTTGAAGGTTGTCTTATCTAGTCCCAGAATTCCCTGCCAAGGTCACCAGCAGGGCCGGTGAAACACCCAGCAAACAACCTGGAACCATGTTAAGTAAAGGAGCTGGCTTACGAGTCAGGGGGCATGGAAGTGAGGAGGGATGCATCTTCTCAGAGACAAAAATGAGGAGCAAAGGTGGTGGTAAATTGCAAATTCTAATTCTAGGTATTCCTCTTTAAAATGCACGCCTCCCATGGGGCCATGTTGCTCCACTATTTCCATAGTTCCAAAGAAAAGAAGACTTTCCTGAAAACCTAAGTGAGTTCAGGCACAGCCTGGGAGTCTCCAGCTGTAAACAGAGGAGAGACAGAGTAGAGCCTCCTTTCTACTCCAGTAACAAGGTTCCACAGGACACCAAGCGCCTGGGATGACGCTTTCCAGGCAGGCAGCTGAGGGGGTGCTGGGAGTTCCCAGAAAGAGGTTTATTCTGAAAAAGGACCGGAAGTCCTGGGTCAAGGCAGTTCATAAATGAGTGAAGAGCTCTGGGTGTGAAGGGTGACCAGATTCCCCAGGAGATGACCCACCTGCAACATTAGTTTGGCAGCCTGCCTGCTGGGAGAGGCCCAGGTTGAGTGCTTGGAGTTAAAGGACCTAGGGGCGGCGGGGGGGATTCAGGAGCTTCCCAGAATTCCTTCTATGCTTTCTTATTTTGTTCCTGATGCCCTTAATTTTTTTTCCCAGTGGTATCACCGTTCTTTCTGTCCTCTAATATCATGTCTACACATCTCCTGAGAAATATGTAGAGCTAAAAGCTAATAGAAAAACTGGTCTCCCATCCACTATAACCACCAAGTGCTTTTACTCACATTCAGGGATTTTTTTTTTTTAGGGAGCCAGGGAAGATGATTTATTCTTCTCGGTCTTCCAGGAGCCTAGAACAAGACTAGTCTACAGAGTGGGTGCTCAGGAGTCATTTTATGGATGGATGGATGGATGGATGGACGGATGGATGGGTGGGTAGGTGGGAGAATGGATGAGTGGATGGATGGATGGATGGATGGATGGATGGATGGACAAGTGGGTAGATGGATGGATAGGTAAAAGGGTGAATGGACAGATGAGTGGGTGGGTAGATGGGTGGATGAATGAGTAGATGGATGGATGGATGGATAGATAGATAGATGGGTAGATAGACGGGTGGATGGATAGATGGAAGGGTGGATGGGTAGGTAGATGGATGGATAGGTGGGTGGGTGAATGGGTAGGTGAATGGATGGATGGGTGGGCAGATGGAGGGATGGAGGGATGGATGGATGGATGGATGGATGGATGGATGGATGGATGATTGATGGATGAGTGAATGGGTAGATGAGTGGATGGATGAATGAATGGATAGATGAATGGGTGGACAGATGAATGTATGGATGAGTGGATGGGTGAATGAATGGGCAGGTGGATAGATGGGTGGATGGGTGAATGGGGAGATGGGTGAATAGGTAGGTGGAAGGATGGATGGGTAATGGATGGTAGATGGATGAGTGAGTGGGTGAATGGATGGATAGGTAGGTGGGTGGTGGATGAATAGATGGATAGGTGGGTCAGTGGTGGAAGGATGAGTGGATGACAGGATGAATGTATAGGTGAATGAGTGGACAGATGGATGAATGAATGAATGAATGAATGAGTGAATGAGTGGATGGATAGATGGGTAGGTAGGTGGATGGATGGGTGAGTAGATGAATGAATGAATAAATAGGTGGACTAAACACATCCTCACACGCTTCCACAGACCTTCCTTCCAATCCCAGCATAAGCCATCCCCTTCAAGCAGCCCATGCTCTGCTCCCCAAACACATTGTACACTCTTCCCTCAGTGCCTTTGCAGGGATGATTCTAACCTCTCTAAAGGTTAGAACTCTAAACCTTTCTGCCCTCTTCTCTGCCTAATTCTACTCATGACCAGGGCTCATAATAAGCTGATGCAAAAGCCCTCTCTTCACCTCCAACCAAACAGTATCCCCTTTTCCAGGCTCACGCCACATTCTTTAGCCCTTGGCTATGAAATCCTTGGATACCTACTGCTAATTGTGCACGTTAAATGGCTTCAGTGAGCACAGGCAGGGTATCCTGGCCTCCCGACTCACACATCAAGGTACAGGGTGGAAGTTTCCCCAGCACCGAGCCCCCAGCCTGCACTTGCTTCTCTGTTGCACAGAACCAGAGAACAGGCAGTAATGCAGAGTGTGTATCCCTTCCCCAAGATGGTACCTGGGAGAGGAGCCCAAAGGCCAAGGCATCCTGCCAAGCCTATCTCCCCCTGGGCTTGCAGCTGGAGGAGGACCACTGCATGCCAAGAGCTCACAAAAGCAGGCAACAAGCATTGCAAGAACAAAGGTGGCAGCAGCATGCCATCCAAAAAGTACACCAGCACTGCCCACCCATGGGTGGTTATGGAGATGTGTTAGTTAAATCTTGGCTAAAAAGTACAATTCTAAGTTAGGATTGAGGCATCATTTTGTCTGTCCCATGTGGCCACTGAATTATCTGAGAGAGGACAAATTTCCAACTTACCATCAAGCAGATATTTTTGTTACAATAGACTGAACCCAAAGAGCAATGACCACTAAGAAGGGGGTTCTCAGTTTGGTGGGTTTAAGCATTTATGTATATGTGTAGGTGCACATACATGCACACAGCGGAAAGTCTGGTCTTTGTATACCTGTACCCACCTTAAGGGAAAGGGAAAAGCAAATGAAGATACCACCTGTTACACTTCTCTGCATCCAAGGCACTGCACCAGGTGCTTCCCATCTGGCATTTTGGTGAAGGGCCTAATGCTGTGGATTGAATGGTGACCCTGAAAAGGTATGCCCATGTCCGAACCCCCAGAATCTATCTGTGAATATGACCTATTTGGAAAAAATGGCCTTTGCAGATGTCATTACGTGAAGGATCTCGACGTGAGATGATCCTGGATTATCTGGATAGGCCCTAAATCCAAAGACCTCTCTTTTTAAGAGACAGAAGGGAAGACACGGCAGAAAGGAGAAGGCCACGTGAAGACAGATGTGGAGGCTGGAGTGATGCAGCCACAAATCAAGGACCACCTGGAGCCACTAGATGCTGAAGGAGGCGAGGCATGGCTCTCTGGAGGGAACAAAACTCTGCTGACACTTTGATTTTGAACTTCTGGCCCCTGAAGAGTGAGAATAACTCTTCTGATGTTTTGAGCCACTAAGTCTGTAGCACTTTATTACGCCAGCCCCAGGACACTAATACAAGACCCACACCTTTTCTGCGGAATTCCCAGGTGCAGGGCTAGTGGGTAAGACATACTCATTAATCATTTGGTCATGGAAATATTTAAACCGGAGTCAACCCCATGCCAAAGCCAATTCCATTCACAGACTCTGGGATAACAGCATCTGTCTTATAATAAGCAAAGGAGTGAACTTTCTTAAAAAGGTAAATAACGCAGAAGAGGAGGCCAGGAGTGAGTATTTATCCCAAAGATCTCTAACGGGAATCCTTCAATTGACACATTCCAGAAAGTACACGTGTTTTTTCCCGGAAAATGTACGAAGCAAGCAGGGAGTAGACAGGACCTACCCCAGGGGGTGAACTGAGATTCTTCCCCAGGGTGATGTCTTTGGTGTGAGAAACATCACTACCCACTGGAACACAGGTCCCAAAGCCTGAGAGCCCCGGGATGGGGCACAGGAGGGAAGAACTCACCACCCATTCCCTTGTTCATGGAGCCCAGGACCACCCACACTCACCAGCATTTTAATGTCTCAGAGAAAGGTGAATATGTCCACTTTTCAAAGGCACACAGTATATATATGGTTTTAAATTCACAAGAGGTAAAATAGCAGATAAAATCCATTGACTTACACGTAGAATCCTTGAGAATTATCAATAATCTCATAAATCATTTGAGATTTGATGGAGCTAAGCTTCTCCATGGCCGCCGCACCTCCATTGTTTTTAATCCACTCCAGGACCAAGCCCATGACGTAGATGCTAAAATGAAGATTTTTTAAAAATCCGTTTAGCTCATCTTTGCAAAAGTAGAAGTATATTCAAGCAAACTGCTGTTTAAGTTCCATTAAAACAGACTTAAAGGCATTATTTGAAACAGACAACACAGTCAGGTGCAGTGGCTCACGCCCATAATCCCAGCACTTTGGAAGACTGAGGCGGAGGGATCGCTTGAAGCCAGGAGTTGGAAACCGGCCTAGGCAACATAGCAAGACCCATCTCCGTAAAAAATGAAAAATTATTTGGGCGTGATAGCATGTGCCTATAGTCCTAGCTACTTGGGAGGCAGAGCAGGGAGGAATGCTTGAGCCCAGGGGTTCGAGGTTGCAGTGAGCTATGATCACACCAATGCACTCTAGCCTGGGTGACAGAGTGAGACCCTGTCTCCAAAAAAAAAAAATAAAGAAAATACACAAGACAAAAGCAGGGCTTGTGTGAACAAGAGCATGTCATCAAGCAAGGACTAGAGTCAATCCAATTCTAGACCCCTGAGGGCCAGTCAGAAAAAGGTTTAATGAGATTTTTCACTAAACGTCGTATCAATCCCTCCTTGTCCAGCTCAAGCCCTAATGTAAACTCTTCTTGACACCAGAACACACTTCCTTATCTCCACCAGAAGGCATCAGCAGACCCCAATCCTGCCCCGACCCAGAGCAAGCTCTTCACTTCCTGAACTCCCAGAGCACCTTGCCCATATTTCCTGCATCGTGTTTTTCCACTTGCTCCTTTATTTTAAGTTTCTGTGTGCCTGTGGTTTGGCCTCTGTGGTCTTGGAAGGCTAAAAGCCCACACTGTTCATCTTTTTTACCCACAGCCTTAGCACAGTGCCTTCCAGCCAGCAGAGACCACTGTGGCAGAGTGGTTAAAAGGATGGGTTCCCCGTCCCAGTCCTGACTCCCGTCGCAGGGCAGCCACTCACTAACAGACTACCCAGGATTAGTCACCTCAGCTTTCCCATCTGGAACCAGGAGATTCACCTACCTGTGGTGGACACGTGGCATTTTATCCACCCTGCTCTTCCCAACTCCACCCTCCAGCCAGTATGCAGGTCCAGCAAGGCCCCTGACTCCCTGGTCTCAGAGTTGGGCATGGGACCTAACTGGGCCAATCAGGGCCTTCCCTGAGATTTTCTCAATTGGGAGTGGGGAGAAAGAGTGGGGAGAGCAGAGAAAGAGGCAGAATATTAGTGCAACTGCGAGACAGGATATGAGAGCCCTAGGGAATCATGTTTCTAGGAAACATCTGAAGAAGACCCATCTGAAAATGAAACCAACATTCCCGCTGAGAGAAACCAGGATCAGAAGTGGAGAGCAGATGGAGGAGGATTCGTGTCCCTGGTTCCAGGAAGTCCAGCTGCACCTCAGCCCTTCCCGCAGCTCAGGACCGTCCCTTTCTGAACCAAGTGTTTCAAATTTTTCCTGCCAGACCAGTGCTTAGCACAGGGCCTGGCACGTGGCAGGTGGGCCACACAAATGGTAGTCAGTAGTCCCTTCAAACTTAAGCTGAAAATATGAAACACTGAGGAGCGGTGCGTGGTTTTCCACAGTCTGAAAGCCCCTCTCCTTGAGAAGGTGCTAAAGGCTCCACGTGTACTCAGTAAAAGCCGAGGGCACAGGAGCAGAGGCTGCCCAGGGAAGACACCATCTCCCTTGAGCAGAGAGTCTGGAGGTCAGCGGCCAACCATGCCCTCTCCAGAGGTGTGAATCAAAGGTCCTCTATGGGAATTGTGCAAAAATGTATTGGGAGTCAATGCTCAGCTAAGATCTGGGGTGGGGATACCCAGCTGCTTCCTCCTTTATTAACAGGAGGGGAGATGATGGGGTCTGGAAAATGCTCTAACAGCCAGCAGCTTGTCACAGGGAAGCCCCCTATACCAACTGGCTCATTCACTGTCTCAAGTGGGACCCAAGGCCTGGGTGCGGTGGCTCATGCCAGCTCATGTTGGCAAAAGCCAACACCAGGCTGCCCAGAGGGGCCTTAGGCAGGGAGCAGACAGCATCCACAAACATCCAACAACCTCTCCTGAAGCTTCCCCAGCCTACCTCCCCACAGCCCTGGGAAGAAAGAGCAGGAGTGGCTGCTGGCAGAAAGGGAAGGCAGAGAGGAAGAGAAAACAGCGCCTGAGAAATCCACAGCCTCAGCGCTAGCTCTCTGGCTAAACGTCCAAGAAGTCAGAGGGACAAAAGAGAAAGAAGAGAGAAAATAAGAGAAGGGAATGAGTACTTCCTGAAGTCTACTGTGGCCTCAGCCTATTTTCATTGATCACAATAATCCTCCAGTTAGAGACACCATCATCCCATTTTCCGGATGAGGAAACTGAGGCTCAGAGAGCTTAACTTGGCCTCAACTCATCTGGCGAGCAGCTTAAAGCCAGGACTCCAACTCCAGGCTGTCTGACTCCAAGAGTGCAAGCTCTTTCCACAAGTATCCAGGCCCTCTGCTTTGCCAGGGGCTGCAGGGCCCCAGCCGCTAGCTCCCCTGCAAGTGGGACTGCAGGGCTATCACCACGCACCAGTCACAGTGGCCAAGTCCAGCACACAGCACACATGCATGTGGGTGTGCATTCCCGACACGAGGCTGCCCAGCCCTCTCTGTTCAGCAGATGCTCTACAATTCCCACTTCACTTCCAACTGCTCCTCTCCCACACCTGCAGCCTGCTCACCCCCTACCTCCACACAGAAGCACAGAAACACACCCTGCCATGTGACTGAATCCAAGCAGCGTCACCCTGTGCCACGTCACCAACAATACTTTCAGGTGACCAAGCTTCGCTTTTGCCTGCAGCTCTGTGTTATCCCAGGGTTTCAGAGCTGACATGCTGCACTGTGGATTTGGTTTCTCTAATCCAAAGTGCAGCAAGGGCCCACGTCAGGTTCACCGTCCTAGCCAGACCTCAGTACTGACGCCTGAACCCCTAGCTGGCTGCTGCGCTCACACTCGCCGCCCATGCTCTCTGGCTTTCTTAATGAATCTGAGCAGGCAAGTCTAGCAGAAAGCTCACCCACTTTTAGGGGCTGCCTGGAGCCAGTACCCGTAACCTGGCTCTATGAAGCCTCAACAAGAGGCAGACAATTCAGAAGCAAGCAGGCTGCCCTGAAGACTGAAGACATCCCTGGGGTAGGAGGTCCTGCCCTCTTCTCCCACCCAGTCCTCTGCACAGCACTGATGTCTAGCCCCTGTGACTCTACTTAACACAAGACCCTTGTGGCTTCCAGTTCTTTATTAACCCATGTTCAACTCCCATACAATCTAAAATCTTGAAAATACAAGGGCTCTAAAATGCTTATACAGGCCAGGCACGGTGGCTCAAGCCTGTAATCCCAGCACTTTGGGAGGCTGAGACGGGCGGATCACGAGGTCAGGAGATCGAGACCATCCTGGCTAACATGGTGAAACCCCGTCTCTACTAAAAGAAAAATACAAAAAACTAGCCGGGCAAGGTGGTGGGCGCCTGTAGTCCCAGCTACTTGGGAGGCTGAGGCAGGAGAATGGCGTAAACCCGGGAGGCAGAGCTTGCAGTGAGCTCAGATCTGGCCACTGCACTCCAGCCTGGGCGACAGAGCAAGACTCCGTCTCAAAAAATAAATAAATAAAATAAAATAAAATAAAATAAAATGCTTATGCAGCTTACAGCATGGTCTCAATTCTTCTCACTACCAGTGTGACATATTTAACAGATTTATGCCTTCATTTCTAAAATGCCACCTGTAAACACACAGGATAGGGTTCCTAACTCTGCCTATTAAATGATTAAATAAATCGAGGTATGTCCATTCTACACGACACCATATATATTTTAAAACAAAAAAAGGGCCAGGTGTGGTGGTTCATGCCTGTAATCCCAACACTTTGGAAGGTCAGTGTGGGAAAATAGCTTGAGGCCAGGAGTTTGAGACCAGCCTGGACAACATATTGAGACCCCGTCACCATAAGTTTTTTTTTTAATGTAGCCAGGCATGGTGGCACTTGTCTGTAGTCCTAGCTACTCAGGAGGCTGAGGTGGGAGGATCACTTGAGCCCAGGAGTTTGCGGTTATGAGAGCTATGATCACACTGCTGCACTCCAGCCTGGGCACCAGAGCAAGGCCCTGTCTCTAACAAAAATAAAATTTTAAAGTAAAAAATAAAAATAGGCATTTCAGCTGACATAGCAGAATGCCAATGTCTATTGTGGAGTGGAAAAATAGAATTCACAGAACAATTTGTATGGTAAAGTTCAAGTTCCATTTGCATGATTAAATATATGACTGCATATTTGCATATGCCCAGTTAAGGGTCTGTTAGGATGCAAAGCAAGCAGTGAATAGTGGCTACCCTGATGACTCTGCCCACTTGCAATTCTTTGCTGAGAGTATGTTACTGTTTGTTTGTTTGTTTGTTTTTTGAGGCGGAGTTTTGTTGTCACCCGGGCCGGAGTGCAGTGACACGATCTCGGCTCACACAACCTCCGCCTACCAGGTTCAAGCGATTCTCCTGCCTCAGCCTCCAGAATAGCTAGGACTACAGATGCACACCACCACCCCTGGCTAATTTTTGTATTTTTAGTAGAGACAGGGTTTCACCATGTTGGCCAGGCTGGTCTCAAACTCCTGACCTCAGGTAATCTGCCCACCTCAGCCTCCTAAAGTGCTGGGATTACAGGCATGAGCCACTGCACCCAGCCTAAGAGTATGTTACTGTTATAAATTTTTTTAAGCAATACGAAATAGTCCCTGTGCACCAGGGCTTAGAAAAGGACACCAGAAAGTCCCCCGGAAAACTCTCCCTGGCTGTTCTAAGACTCCAGCTCTGCAGATGAGCTTCTGAAGTTGATGTTATGGCACAGTTTTCTCAGGATTCGGTGAATGTAACCACTGAGTTGAGCACTTTTCCCAGAGGAAAGCTCCCAAAGCTGTCTCCACTACACACCCCACTGTGGATTCCAGGATTCCAGGCGTCTCCATCCCACTGGGAGAAGGTAGTCTGGGACCAGTGAAGTCCTCCAAACAGGCTCACAGACTTAATTTGCATGCTCCCATTCTTTTATTTATTTATTATTATTATTTTTGAGATGGAGTTTTGCTCTTGTTGCCCAGGCTGGAGTGCGATGGCACAATCTCAGCTCACCGTGACTTCTGCCTCCTGGATTCAAGCTATTCTCCTGCCTCAGCGTCCTGAGTAGCTTGGATTACAGGCATGTGCCACCACGCCTGGCTAATTTTTGTATTTTTAGTAGAGACGGGGTTTGTCCATGTTGGTCAGGGTGATCTTGAACTCCCGATCTCAGGTGATCCACCTGCCTCGGCTTCCCAAAGTGCTGGGATTACAGATGTGAGCCACTGCGCCTGGCTTGTTCCCATTCTTTTAAGAGGTGGCCTAAAATTAATGGTCTATTTGTTTTGTATTTTTATTAGTTACTTCACCTCATATTGCAGCTAAAACAAATGTACGCTTGTGTATTCAATTAGTCATGGTAAGTAAAAAGTATTTTGTGTGGTCAGCAGGGAAGTTTAGGGATCTTTTCTTCTATCCACTAATTGGGGTTAGTGTGTTCTACTGAAGGGTTAAAGAGAACACCAGCGTGTTCTTTATTCCACTCCAGTTCATCGCTCAGGGCTACAGAGCAACGATTTGAAGGCAGTTTTATCCAGCACAATTAAATCAAAGTTCCCAGGGCCTATGGTCATTAGACTCAAGGGGGGGGGGAAAAAAACATGGCTTCTTTTCAAAAGTAAGGCCGTTTCAAGAACTCTACTATGTGATACAAAGTTCTGAAGGGTTCCAGGTACCCCATCAGCCTCACATCACGGACTGAGGAGGGCATTTTGCACACATCTTGATGTCTCCATTTGTAGCTTGTTCTCATTGGGTGAGCTAGGATTTTCTAACTTGCATGTTTTTTTGTTTGTTTGTTTTGTTGTTGTTGTTTTGAGATGGAGTCTGGCTCTGTCACCCAGGCTGGAGGGCAGTGGCATGATCTCGGTTCACTGCAACCTCTGCCTCCCGGGTTCAAGGGATTCTCCTGCCTTAGCCTCCTGAGTAGCTGGGACTACAGGTGCCTGTCACCATGCCCAGCTAATTTTTGTATTTTTGGTAGAGACGGGGTTTCACCATGTTGTTCCAGCTGGTCTCGAACTCCTGACCTCATGATCCACCCACCTCGGCCTCCCAAAGTGCTGGGATTACAGGCATGAGCCACCGTGCCCGGCCTAACCTTGCATTTTTAAGTACTGCAAATGAACTCCATTTAAAGTCATGGATTTACGGTTAATCTTCAAACATACAGAATTAGACAGAATATTTTTTTTTTTCTTATGGGGTAAAAAGAAAGAAAGCAACTTCCAGGGAGTATCTTGGAGTCAGAATCCATTACTTAAGTATCTTTTATCTTCTCTATTTACAAATTCTCATCATATTATTAACAATCCTGACTGGCCCTGAGATGGTCTCAATGATCACTGTTCTGATCTGTCTAGGGGAGAAACTCGGCCCCTTTTCTGCCCTTGTTTCTGCCTCTGTCCTTCCTCCGGCAGGAAAGCTCTGGAAAGGGAGTTCCTCCCCTCCCCCTACCCCGCATCCCCACCCACAGTGGGCCAGAGGAGCCCAACCACTGGTCAAGCACAGGGGGCGGTAGGGGAGTCACCATATGAGAAACTCTCTTCCAGGACAACTTTCTGTGTCTCCAGGTCTGACTCCAGCCATCTTCAACTCCCATTAGAAAGACTGGCCTGCTTTCCCACTGTTCCCACTAATGGTTTCTCCCCCTAATATTAACAAACAGCATGTGCTAATGTGCTCATTCCTTTCTTTTTTTTTTTTTTTTGAGACGGAGTCTCACTCTGTTGCCCAGGCTGGAGTGCAGTGGCGCGATCTCGGCTCACTGCAAGCTCCACCTCCCGGGTTCACGCCATTCTCCTGCCTCAGCCTCCCGAGTAGCTGGGACTACAGGCGCCCACCACCACAGCTGGCTAACTTTTTGTATCTTTTAGTAGAGATGGGGTTTTACCGTGTTAGCCAGAATGGTCTGGATCTCCTGACCTCATGATCCACCTGCCTCGGTTTCCCAAAGTGCTGGGATTACAGGCGTGAGCCACCGCGCCCAGCCATGTTCATTCCTTTTTTAAAAAATGCTCTTCAAGGTAACCCTTGGAGAAGGTACCACGGGGTGACTGTCTGCCCTGCCCCAAGCTGTACCCTGATCACAACTTGCTGGCCTACAGGCTGTGGGACAGTTCAGGGACAGCACTCTTTCCCTGCCCCCTCCCACCTTCTCACTTCTGAAATGGGTGATGGTTTGGGCTCCTCTGAAAGCCTCCTCTAGCTGCAAGGCAGGCCCTGGCCCCATCTCTAAACAAGTAAGGACGGCCTCCTCTCCCTCCACCTGCCATGTGCAGCCTGGCACCTCGGCCCCTTCTCCAGGAGGCCAGCACTTGAGGTTCCCAACTGCACCTCAAGTGCCCGCCCAGTTCTTGTGTCCCAGTTGGCCATATATATATATGTATATATATACACACACACATGCATATAAATAAATGTGTGTATATATATAAATAAAATATATGTATATCCCAACTCATTTAATCTTCACAGCAACCCAATGAAAGGGGTACTATTATTACTTCTGGAACCTACTACACAGACATGTTAAGTGACTTGCCTAAGGTCACACAGCTAGTAAATACTAGACTCTCTTAGGCAATTGTAAATCTTAAGAGTCATGAAGATTGTCTCAAAATACCCAAGTTTGGGAGTTACAGGATCCTGAGGCAGGGCAACCTTGCTCTCCCTGAAGTGCCGCAACGCAGCCCCCACTCAGCGAATGAGAGCCAGGCTAAGAGGATCCCTCCAGATTAGGCTGAAAAATAGAAAGATGTTGGCCAGGCACGGTGGTGCACGCCTGTAATCCCAATGGTTTAGGAGGTCAAAGCCAGTGGATCACCTGAGGTCAGGAGTTCAAGAGCAGCCTGGCCAACATGGTGAAACCCCGTCTCTACTAAAAGTACAAAAATTAGCTTGGCGTGGTGGCATGCACCTGTAATCCCAGCTACTCGGGAGGCTGAGGCAGGAGAATCGCTTGAACCTGGGAGGCAGAGGTTGCAGTGAGCCGAGATCACGCCACTGCACTCCAGCCTGGCGACAGAGCGAGACTCCATCTCAAAAAAAAACAAAAACAAAAATCCCTGAAAGGTATTTAAGCCAGTATGTTCTCTGTCAGGCAGCCAGCTTCCCGCAGGCCCAGCAGAGAAAGAAATGAAAGCAGGGGAGGCACAGCCTTTGAAAATTCTTCTCCAAAGCTGCACTGGCTGTTTGAGATGCAGGCCACAGCACCTCATGTATAGAGAGCTTTTGGGTTAACGGTGAACCACCAGGTCCTGGATTACCAAGACCAAACAAAAACCAACATCCCCAAAAAAGAGCAAGAGGAAAAGCTGATCAAATAGTAAAGAGGGGGTACAGAGGGAGAGGTGAGCTGGGCAGAGAATCTGATAAGATATCTGGGGCATTTGGTCACCGGCTCCTGGAATCATGCTTTACTTTATTTTACTTATTTATTTAGAGATGGAGTCTCCCTCTGTCACCCAGGCTGGAGTGCAATGGTGCCATGTCGGCTCACCGCAACCTGTGCCTCCCCAGCTCAAGCGATTCTCCTGCCTCAGCCTCCTGAGTAGCTGGGATTATAGGTGTGTGCTACCACGCCTGGATAATTTTGTATTTTTGGTAGAAACAGGGTTTCACCATGTTGGTCAGGCTGGTCTCTAGCTCCTGACCTCAAGTGGTCCACCCGTCTCGGCCTCCCAAATTGCTAGGATTACAGGCGTGAGCCACCCCGCCCAGCCTTACATGCTTTACTTTAAAATACAACCTCTGCTTTGATGAAAAATAGTGAGACCCTCCCCGGGTCCACAAGACTGACTCCCAGAGTTACCTGAAACATGGAGGCGTGTTGTACAAGGAGCTGTTTCCAGCCTGCACCTTGTATTCCAGGACCGAAGGGCACTCTCGGAGGGCAAACCCCAGCAGGTCATCACGGACAATCACCACGGTGACCCCAGCAGAGCCAACATTCTTCTGGGCACCAGCAAAAATCACACCAAACTTAAAAAGAGAAAGACATGCTGTTTAAGAAGGATTTGGCCATTTTTCATACATGTATGCAAACCTCCCAACTCTTCCCAAAGCACAATTTCTTTAAGGAAATGACTGTATGCTGTGTAGGGAGGAGTTGATGCTCTAAAGCAATCTCCATCTGGGTGGCAAACCCATACTCAGGGTTCCAAAGCCTGAGGATGATCTGTCGGTCTGGTCCTCCCCTGGATGGGGCTAACCCAAGCCCACCACTGCAAGGTCCTGGCACATACTCACATTTGCTCTGCATACCTCCTTTCTACCCCCAAATCAGTCTTTAAAGTGGGGCCTCTAACCCTCCCTAGTAACCAAGAGAAGAAACAGATTTTTTTTTTTTTTTGAGACAGAGTCTTGCTCTGGCACCCAGGCTGGAGTGCAGTGGCACGATCTCAGCTCACTGCAACCTCCACCTCCCGGGTTCAAGCGATTCTCCTGCCTCAGCCTGCCAAGTAGCTGGGATTACAGCATGTGCCACCATGCCCAGCGAATTTTTGTATTTTTAGTAGAGACGGGGTTTTACCACATTGGTCAGGGTGGTCTTGAACTCCTGATCTCGTGATCCACCCTCCTCTGTCTCTCAAATTGTTGGGATTACAGGCGTGAGCCACCGCGCCTGGCTGAAACAGATTTTTTAATCTATTTACATCTGTATAAAAGGACAGTCAGAAGGTGCTGAGAAAGGGACAAGGGACTGCTATGACAAAGAGAAGGGATGGGACAAGCTGCCTGAGGGAGAAGAAATTATAGAAAACAGATGTTTAAAGGTACTTTAGGTAATTCTGTTGTGCAAGATACAAAACCCACTCCCATGACTCTCTCCATGAAACCTTTAGGAAAAATGAGCGTCGGCAGGAAGTTGGGGGTGGGGGAAAGTAATTTATAGTTATTTAAAATTGCCAGTGCCTGGCGATAATGAAAAGCAGACCATAAACCAAATATAGTATATCTAAACAATTATTATTCAGCCTTAAAAAAGAAAGGAAGTTCTGACACACACTACAACATGGATGAACCTTGAAGACATTCTGCTAAGTGCAATAAGCCAGACACAAAAGGACAAATAGTACATGATTCACTTCTAGGAGGTACCTACAGTAGTCAAATTTACAGAGACAGAAACTAGAATGGAGGCTGCCAGGGGCTGGAGGGCAGGGAGAGAGGGGGTTAGTGTTTAACGTACAGACTTTCATTTGGTAAGATATGAAAGTTCTGGAGACGGATGGTGGTGATGTCTGCACAACAATGTGAATGCTCTTACTGCCACTGAACCGTACACTTAAAAATGGTTAAGATGGTACATTTTATATTAAATGGTAAAATTTATTATAAGTATATATTTTCCCAAGTAAAAAGGCAGAATACCACTCAGTCAGTTCAACGGTTGTTCTTAGATTCTTTACCCGCATCGCCCCCTCGGGCATGTACCTAGAGCACGGGTCCCACTGCCCTGCCTTGGTGAGCCACTCAGAAAACGGTATCCTGTTGACGCTTCTGGAGGTGGGTACCGGGCAAGGGGAAGCTCTCTCACACAGGTCCCCTGGGCTCGGGATAATCTGCATCTGCTCTTGAAGACAAGTCACTCCCCGTCTGTTGACCAAACAAGTTTCTAAGAACCACTCTCAAAAGCAGGTAGTTCCCCAAGGACTCAAGTGGGATCCTGTGAGGCAATCATCATCATGAGGCTGGGAACAGCAGGCCTCAGGCACTGCAACAGCTGGGGATTCACACCTGGCAGCCTGCTCACTGGCAGCTGCCCCTAGCTCAGGGGTTCTGCAGGCCCCAAACACCCATGGTTCTTCCCGCTGTTGTGTATATTAAAATGTCCCTGCAGAAACCGAGTCAGTGCGTTCCCCCGACCCTGCCTTTTATACTCTACCTTGGAAACATCCACTGGCTTGGACAGGAAGTTTGAGGACATGTCACAAACCAGTACTGCTCCCTTGACATCGGGTATAAAGTCAAACTCCACACCATGCACTGTCTCATTTGCACAATAATACACATAGGAGGCATCCGGGTTGAGGTTCCAGGTGCTTGGATCTGGAATTTCTATCATAGAAGACAAGTTTGAGACTTTGCACTTTTCACTCTCCTCTTTTCTTACACAGATGGGAGTCAACCGGGAGACTGACAGGCCTCCCCTAGCAGGGAAAGATCAACTGACTTCAAAGCACTGCACAAGTGAAAGCACCCTCCCAGCCTCATCTTTTGTTACCATCGTCACCAACATCCTGAGAGGACGAGCGATCCAACCTTTTGACTTTTACTGGGAACAAATCATCTTCAAAAATGGCATGGAAGGGTGGGCATGGTAGTATGTGCCTATAGTCCCGGCTACTTAGGAGGCTAAGGCAGGAGGATCACTTGAGCCCAGGAGCTGCAGGCTACAGTGTGCTATGACCATGCCTGTGAAGAGCCACTATACTCCAACCTGGGCAACATACAAAGACTGTGTCTCAGCAAAATAAAGTAAATTTTTTCAAAAGGCCTGGGAGATATCTGAGTTTTTACTTGTCACCCAGTATCCATCTACCCTACATCCATTGAGGGACTAGTAGCTTCTTATTGGGACCCCAGCCCTCACCCGCTCTCAGCCCATGTAGTTCCAGGGGAGCCAGTGAAACCCACAGCCCAGAGGTAGAATACAACTCAGGCACGGCCACAGGGACTGATTCAGAATGGGGCACAGGAGACATGAGACTGTTACTGGCAATGCTCTGCAAAGGCATTGAAACTTGGGAGAATATAAGGTCAGGAGCAGCTGCAGCCACCTTTCAAGAAAGTGACAGCTTTTTCTGCCTGTGGAGCCACCAGGTCCTGGAGACATTGTTGGGGCCCCTGATCAGGCCACATCTAAAGCCAAACCAGCCCCTGGACTTTTTCAGCTAATTAGCTGAAAAGCTACTACTAACTACTCACTGGCTTCTGCAATAAGAGTATGCATAGGCCAGGCGCAGTGGCTCACGCCTGTAATCCCAGCACTTTGGGAGGCTGAGGCAGGTGGATCACCTGAGGTCAGGAGTTCAAGAGCAGCCTGGCCAACATGGTTAAACTCCGTCTATACTAAAAATACAAAAATTAGCCAGGCATGGTGGCGGGCACCTGTAATTCCAGGTACTCGGGAGGCTGAGGCAGGAGAATTGCCTGAACCTGGGAGGCAGAGGTTGCAGTGAGCTGAGATTATGCCACTGCACTCTAGCCTGGGTGACAGAGCAAAACTCTGTCTAGAAAAAAAAATAAAGTAAGAGTATGCATAGGCTCTAGTTTTAGCTAGTACAGCCACCCAATCTAAATGGGAATGAACTAACAACTGACAAGGGCAGAAAAGAACTGAAAACTACAGATTGCCCTGGGTTGGGGTAACCCACCAGTCAGCATTTCACCACCCAGCTCAGCTCCCAGAACTTACTTGTATAACTCCCAAGTTTAGGGTGAACGATATTTATAGTCCCAAACTTCTTGGCTTCTTCTGCGGCCTTAGCTGACCAAGCTCCCGTCACCACATAGTCCGCACATCTTCCTGCTTTCAAGCCAATCAGGTTTAAGGGGACAGCACCAAACTGGCCAGACCCACCTCCTTGCAAAAAAATCACCTTATAGTTGTCTGGAACGGCTCTGGGCAGAAGCACAGGTAACAGTAAATACATAAACTCATGTGGTCAAAGATTAAGAACAAGTGATGCTCTACCAAGTGCTTTACCTTGGGTGGATTTACTACAAGAAATATGGTAATGTTCCAATACTACTGTGTCTTCCCTAATTCACTCATTTATTTATGCAATCCTTGAACAACTATTTACTGGAGACTGTGTTGAAAGCCTAGGGTGACTGTTGGACCTGCAGGTCTTCCTCCTCTTCCTAGTGACAACAGCCTGATGTTCCTTTAGGAAATTACCCCTCTGCCACTCTCAGTCCACATGGTTCAACTGTGGTCAACCCTGGCTCAAGGGGATGAGCACCTGGCCCCAGGCTGGCCAATGGAATTTGGTACTGAGACCTTTACTCAAACTTCTTGGTAAGGAAAGCTGTTTCTACTGAGGGAAAGAAGAAACTTGTAGGAGCTGATCCTGCAACCAGTGGTGGCCACGCAGTGAAGAGAACACATAAGAAAGCAGAGCCAGAAGATGTGGGAAAATCAGCTTCCTGCAATCATTTAGAAGCACTTAAATCCTCCTGCATTTATCTGTTAGGTGAGATAATACATTGCTTTTTTACTTAAGCCAGTGAGTTGGGGGTCCTATAACTTACAACCAATAATCCTGTGCCATGCACCGTGCTATGAACTAGGTAGATGTTGGGCAGGAGGTTTTGATAATGTTTTAGGCCTGGCCTTGAAATCATGTATCTATTACACATCAAAATAAAAAGCAAAATTCTTTGACTCCAGGATGAAAAATTAAGATAACGATGAGAATGGCTACAGGCAGTAGAAACAAGCCCAGCTCCAAAAGGACAAGGCCATGGAAACTGGACCCAAGCCTTTGAGTAAGGTCAGAGCCTGGGAATAGGTGTACAGAAGCCAGATGGCCAGGGAACAGAGCTCCAGCAAAGATATAGAGGTAAATTAATAAAGGGCAAGGCAACGTGGTAGGGTCTTGGGGAATGGGGTGGTAGGTGCGTAAATATCTTGTCCTGAAAGATGCATGACCTACATTCAGGGCTTAGTAGGATAGCAAGCAACCAGCAGGTCTTAGGAGAGTCTAGCCACGAGGTTCTCAGCAGCTGGGAAGACTGATAACCCAAGACAGAGATCCAGGTTCACATTATTCAGATGCAGGGCGGTTAACAAGGCCAAGAATTAGATGGAAGGAAACCAGGCCGAGGTCTAGGTACAGGTGTACAAGGTAGGAACCAGGTTAGGAGAAGAAAAGATAGGCCCTTAAATTGAACTGGGACCCCAGTCAGAGGAAGTTCGTAGCCATGTGGTCAAATGCCATCTCTCTTCAGGCTAATGTTCCAAATACCCACTCCATGAAGGACAGGATTGTCCTATGAATGTGACATGATACTCAGCAGGCCAACGGATGGGAGAGGCCAAGCAGATGGCTACCAGCTCTGAACATTCACACTGCAATCAGCGTCTGCTCCTCCTCACAGAAATCCCACCCAGCCTGCCCTATCTGAATCTCTTTATCAAGCAATTTGAAAACTTGAAATAATCAGCATAATTCAAATTTTGTTAATGTAATAATGCAAGAATGGGTCCTAACATATTAGTGATTATCCCTGATTAGCTGGGGTTAAAGTTATTCCAGTTGAGTTGTGAGCTACAATGTTTTTCCTAAACTTTCATTATTTTTGTGAACAGGAAAAAAAAATGGTATGCTTTCAAACTTGCTATATTTGTGGGTTTATGTGAACATGTTTATATAATATATAAAAATCTCTCCTTTAAATAGCAATCTATTTAAGAATAAGGTGTCCTCTGGATAGGAAAGGCAGTGCAGCTAACCCAGGGAGATTTCGTCTAAGCAGCAGTTCCTAGAGTTCAGAACTCTTACAATTAAAATTAAAGTTAAAAATAAAAGTTAAAAAGAAAGTCTCTCCGGAGATTCTGATTCGGCAGGACTAAGTGGTGCCCATCACTTGATTTATTTATTTATTTATTTTTTTATTTTTTGAGATGGAGTCTCGTTTTGTCACCCAAGCTGGAGGGCAGTGACGCGGTCTCAGCTCACTGCAACCTCCGCCTCCCTGGTTCAAGCAATTCTCCTGCCTCAGCCTCCTGAATAGCTGGGATTACACGTGTGTGCCACCATGCCCAGCTAGTTTTTTTTTTTTTTTTAGTAGATGGGGTTTCACCGTGGTAGCCAGGATGGTCTTGGTCTCCTGACCTCGTGATCCACCCGCCTCAGCCTCCCAAAGTGCTGGGATTACAGGCGTGAGCCACTGTGCCTGGCCCCACTTGAATTTTTTAATACTCCACCCTAACCAGGTGACTCTGACAGATGGTATGAAACTCAAACTTTGAGAACAACTGAACTAGTTTATAGTCAATTATGCTGACAAAGATGACCATTTCTTCGTCATTTTTATCTCTTTCATGCCAGTTTAACTGCCACAGTGCTGAAAAATCTTTCCTAGATACAGTGACTTCAAATCTTTGGAAATATCACATAAAATAAAAACAAAAACATACAAACACAGGATGGGGAACAAGTAAAAAGCATTATGTACTAATAGTGAGTTGGAGAGAATCTTAAAAGGATTATTTTAAATTGTGAAATATTCTGAACAAACAATAGAGTGTAGAAGATAATGGAAGACATCCGGGTTTAGGAAGTATCTAACAAAAGTAACAGAATTTGGTCTTTTTTAAACTTACAGCAATTCCCGCACAAGAGTCTCTGTATTGTTAATAATCTTGGCAAAATCTGATGACCTGTGACTCATTTCTGTGAAAGGAAAGATAAACAACAACAAAAATGCCAGTTTAAAACCAAGTGAACAGAAATACCTATGATATTTGCAAGTAAACAACAATACCGGGAAATTTCAGTTATTCTGCATTCAAATTGTGGGCCAAGGCTCACTTAGTTTAGGGGACCATCCACACTGATTTTCAAATTGCAAACATTTAGCTTCATCGTCATGGCAGAAGGATTTTTCAAGTGGTGCATTCATTGAGCAAGCTATTTGTTAATTCATCACTCCATGATGCTGTCTGTGATTCTTCTTACAATCTCTTTCTCACAAACAGGAATCCATGTCCAACAGTTGCCCTTTAGGTCTAGAGCACAAAACTCCACGCTGTGATCTCACTTCACAGAAATCTAAGTATATGTTCCAAACCAACAGGAACAAAATTTAACAGAAATAAGCAATACAGTTAACCCTATGGTCTCTTAATACCATGCAGTCTTCAGAACTACCAAAAATAAAAGAAAATAAGTTTTGGAATGCGGAAGTCCTCTTCCCCAAAAATATAGGGGAAACTTAATAAGATTATCAATGTGCGAGGTCCTCATAAAAGGCTTGTGTACTTTTAAACTTTAATGAGGTTGTATTTAAGTACAATAAAAACTGTAAATTGAATGTAAAGCAATATTATAAATGTTTGGAGGCAATATTATGCAAATATATAGTATCTTCTGATCCTAGATCCTATGATTTAGCAAAAACCAATTATGACAGGGTAAACTGAGATGTCAGAGCCTCTCACCAGCATTTATGCTATTTTCAAAATGGTTTCTATCAAACATGCAACCCAAGCTATTAAAGTTTAAAAATGTATCTATAAAGGCCTATAGGAAGACTCTATAGGCCCTGTAATTCTATATTTGATGCATTTAAATTAGTTCCCTTTGGGCCAGGGCTCAGTGGCTCAAGCCTGTAATTTCAAAACTTTGGGAGGCCAATGTGGGAGAATTGCTTGAGGCCATGAGTTTGAGATCAGCCTGGGCCACAAAGTGAGATCCCATCTCATGGGATCTTTAAAAAATATCTTAAACATTTTTTAAAAATTAGCCCGGTATGGTGACATGTACCTATAGTCCTAGCTACTCAGGAAGCTGAGGCAGGAGGGTCACTTGAGCCCAGGAGTTGAAGGCTGCAGTGAACTATGATCACGCCATTGTACTCCAGCCTGGGTGACAGAGGAGGACTATGCCTCTTAAAAAAAAAAAAAAAGTTTCCTTTGAAACCTGGACATTCACATAATTCAAAAGTAAATCTTACCAAGAACACTAATGCCAATTCCTTTGTAGTCTAATAACTCCTTTTGCATCTCTAACAACACCTAGAAAAAAAAAAAGGAAAATAAGGTTATTTCAATATGCTCTACACGGCTTTCCCTCCACACATACAAACTTGAGAAGGGGACGAGGAAGGGTCTACAGGGAGGTCCCCAGGCATCCATCCCCACCCACAGCCAGTCCCCTTCCTCCCCATGTCCACAAAGCCAGCGATGATGCAACTTACACACAAGGTAAGCATGAAATTAGGCAATGTGACTGATGTTGATACACTTTTTCCAAAGTCCTGAATTTACCAATCCCCTAGAAAATGTCCCCTTCGCAAATCTCATTCACCACTCTCCTAAAGCTAAAGTACAGAATGCATAAAGTTCTGGGTTAAAGGGACAACAATAAAAACAATTATGTCCAGATTATACAGGTAACTCAATTTTCCGATGTCTTTTGGTCTAAGGTGCTAGACTGGGAAGCGTGGGGTAGGCAGGAAGAAGGAAGAGCCTGCTGTGAATAAGATTTGTCCCAGGGTGCTGCAACAAGACTGGCACAATGTTGATAGTCATTGAGTCTCAGAGATGAGTCCTTGGAGGTTCATTACACTACTTTTATCTTTGTGTATGTGAGGAATCCCATAATAAAAAATAAAGAGAAAAAGAAAAGCTTTAAAAATGAACATAAAATAAGTGCAAAAGCAACCAGACAGAGAAGGTCTACAAATAGGAGGCACTTTTTTTTTAAGATGCTTGCTAAAGAGGGCATCATTAAAACACAGCTATAACTTAAACTGGATTGCAACTTGACTCAAAAAACAGTATTTTAACAATAAAGAATTAGACAAGGCCGGGCGTGGTGGCTCACACCTGTAATCCTAGCCCTTTGGGAGGCCAAGGCGGGCAGATCACGAGGTCAAGAGATTGAGACCATCCTGGCCAACATGGTGAAACCCCGTCTCTACTAAAAATACAAAAATTAGCTGGGCATGGTGGTAGGCGCATGTAATCCCAGCTACTACTGAGGCAGAAGAATCGCTGGAACCTGGGAGGTGGAGGTTTCAGTGAGCTGAGATCACGCCACTGCACTCCAGCCTCATGACACAGCGAGACTCTGTCTCCAAAAAAAAAAAAAAAAGAGTTAGATTTAAAAAAAGACTGCCTTGACGACTGGGTCTAAGAATGTGTTATTGTTTTCTGAAATGCTGGATGCTTGTTAACACTAGCTGATCAAATAAATCAGAGTGAATCTTTTCTCTTAGTAAAGAGAAACATTCATCTGTGAATAATCTCTGAACTTGCTCTGAGGCTGTATCTTTCTTATAGACAGCATTCGTTGACAATAGTTCTATAAAAGTTTATAACCAAAATAATTACAAAGAGTTTTAAAGACTCCTACTCAAAAATTACACCTTCCTAATCCAATCGTTGTTTTGTTTTTCTTTTTCCCAGTTGAAGAATGCATTGCTCTTGTGGATCACAACCAATTTTTCTTTTGCTGTTGTTAAGAGACAGGGTTTTGCTCTGTCACCCAGCCTGGAATGCAGTGGGACAATCACAGTTCACTACAGCCTCAAACTCCTGGGCTCAAGAGATCCTCCCACCTTAGCCTCCTGAGTTGCTTGGATTACAGGCGTGTGCCACCACACTCAGCTCACGACTAACTTGTTTAATGAAACAGAACAGACTAGAGCAGGATAGAATACAAAATAGTGTATGTCACAGGTAATTAGGCTACTCATCATCTCATAAGGCATTTATTTTTGTTACAATTCAATTTTGTGTATACTTTGTCATTTTGTAAGCACGTTTTTCACTGTAGTTTACAGTCAAAAAAGTTTGAAAGCTTCTCTAATCTTTGCAATTCAACTAAATCAAGGAAACACATAAAAAGCAACATCTGCCCGCCCTTGGCCCTCCTACCTCCCAGGTTACATGCAATCCAAGGACAAAAATCCTCCCAGAAAAATTAATAATAAATAATTGTATTACTGATGACAACTGCCATTACAATTATAGCAATAAATTAATAACGAATTACCTACGGAACAAATACTGGGAACACTCCAAAGCATGGGGGGGAGGGTTGAAGGAGGAGGCTACAGGAAACATTTCTACAGCTGGAGCAGGGAATCTCGCCTAAAATGAACTGTAATCACTGAGAAAAAATAAGCCCTGTCCTCTCAGCTACTGTGAGCGCTGCCCCTAGAAAAGCAAGACGTCCTTTCCCCTTTAAAATTGGATTCTCTGTTCTTACCACAACACAGAGGAGGCTCTGTCCCAGGGAGATTTCTACTCTGCTCAACAATTGATAATTGTAAAATACTTGGCTATGCCCCATGCTGCTCCAACATATTATCAGCTCTACCCTGGTTAGCAAAATAAAAATCTAACAGCAGCGGCAGCCGCCTGACAATGAGCTCAAGGCACATCAGAGACTTTGCCTTCTTCACTGCGGGTGGAGCTGGGGACGGTGGGTTTGGCGGGGGAGGGGAGGAGCCAGGCTGGGGCCTGGGAAGGCAGAGAGTGAGTTCCACTAGCAAGATCTGATTGTGGCCCGGGGGAGAATTCAATCATTCGGTTTACTCCAGAACCAAATGAACAGATAATTGGGTTAAGCAGCCCAAAGCCCACCAGAGTTCGAATACTCGAACGCCTTTAGGGGACAAGCATGTTAAAAAAAAGGAGAGGGGTGGGGAGAAAGGCTTTAGGAAAGGGTAGGTTCTATGGGGGACAAGGAGGGGAAAGTTGGACTGAAGGTTTTCAAATTTACATTTCTGAAAAGCAGTGCTCCTAAGTGCTGGCTAAAGCAAACACTGGTGTAGGGGGTAGGGGGGCACCCACACGCGGACCTTTAAGTTTGCAATCCCTTTCAGCTAAGGTGATCCACTGCAATACGCAAAACCTGTCATCGGTTCATTCCCATTCATCACTCATTCACACTATGTCCATTCATGCATCCGCTCGGGCATCACACTGCCCGGGCTCGCCGCACAGCTGCGCGAGGCGAACGCAGAGATCAGAGCTTTTTCTCTTCCGCCCCGCCCCAGCCCCCGGCCCGGCCCTGCCCGGGAGATGGCACAGCCCGGGAGTCTGCAGGTGCGCGGCACCGGCGGGGCAGCAGGCCCCGGCCAGCTGAGTCGTGCACTGCCTCGCATCAGCAGTCACGGCCAGGGGCAGCTGCACCGGCACGCCTCGCCGAGCTTCCTCACCAACTGCATTCTTGCCGAAGCCCGCCTGCCAGAGCTGCTGATCCCGCCGTGCATGCTGATGCAAAGCGCCTAGGGGACTCAAGGCGGGGAGCGAGAATCCGAGTGCCACACGCAGGGATGCAAACCCACCCGCGCGCGTGCTCCCGCCTGAACCTCACTCACGGCGCCCGCTCGCGGGGACTTACTGAGTGCGGCAGCTTGGCGGGACCAGGCCCAAAGTTGACCACCTGCCTTGGGGCGTCCATGGTGCGGCGGCTAGGGCGGCGAGTCAGCCAAGGAGGACCGAACGCGTGAACGGCTAGCGTTCACGACCGCCGCGGTGAGAGTCTGCAGCCGGCTCCGCACCCCTGCCCTGTTCCAGGGCCGAGTCGGCGCCCCATTGGCCCGCGCTGTCGCAGGCCCTGCGCTGATTGGTTCGCGCGAAGGAGCTCGCATCCCCATTGGTCGTGCTTCTGAACCGAGTCCGACAGTTGCTCCTCCTCGCGTTTACTGTTTCAACCCCCATTTTTGATCAATGCAAGGAGCGCGCGAGATTGCGCCAGCCAGCAGAGCCGGCTCGGCTGCGCGCCCGCCCGAGGATTGTGGGCGGCGGGAAGAGGCTGCCCCTGCCAACCTGCCTTCGCCCCTTGAGCCCTCAATCAGGCCTCAAGGGTTCAGTCCTCCAACCCCAAAGGACTCCAGCTCCTCTCTCTTGGCCGAGCAGATTTGTCGCCCCCATCCACCCACCTCTCCACCACCAGCCCCCAGTTTGGGCTGTGATGTATTTGTTCCAGAACCAGAAGTCACTAATCTACCGAACTTTTCTAAGCACCCCCACGGGCGTCAGATACCCTAGTGAAGAGAGAGGACCCCCCAAGGTTGGAAGCGCAGGATGAAGAAGGGCCGGGGGTGGGTGGATAAGGTTCTTTGTATTTGCTCGTGGGTCCCGAGTTCCTGCAGGATTAAAGAACAGAGGTGGCCAAGGACGCAGGGAGGAGCGATAGCCTGGGAAGCGTGGATGTCCGCCAGGCAAGCCCTTTAAAGTCGCTGATTCTCCATTTCCTCCTTTGTGAAACGAGTGAGCTGGAACCCTGCGACAGCTCTCAGGTTGCGCCCGCGCTGACAAGCTGTGAGTTGAGAAACGTGAGGAGATAACAACAAGAACGCGATACCCCTAGGGCGCTGCAGCCCAAACCAGAGGAAGGTGGCCCCTAGCCAGGCCAGGCGCACGGCCAGAGCTGCTCAAACTTTTCCACAGAAGTGACCTTCTCAAAAGAACTCCAGTGGAGACCCCATGGGGTTCAGAAACACAAAACCCTCCCCCTACCCTGCAAGAGAGAAGTTCCTTTGAAGTCTGGAATTTCATCATTTTTAAACTATGAATTTTGCATTCTGTGCCATAATTTAACCTAGTTTCTTCTAATGTAAAAATATTTTCCCAGTCTGAGTAAAATTGATGCGCCAGGAATATACACAGTGCAACTGCCCCGTTTAGAGAAGCCTTGTAATTGGTCAGGGCTTTGGCTTTTGTTTGCTTTTCCTGATGAGAATGTGGGCAGTATGGGGCTGAGAGCAGAGGCACTGCTCTGGATCTGGAATTGGAGCACAAAGTTTCCAGAAAAAGGCAAAATGAACAAGGCCCCTGCGTTTCTCAGCAACTTCATTAAGAAAACCGCAACAGTGAAGGGAGAATAAGTCTCGGCCCAGAAACTCAGGCATGCAAGAAGCGTCACATATCCATTCTTTTATGTAAATAACTCAGTTATTTTTACATTATATATTAGAAAATATTTTTACATTATATATTAGTAGATGCCCCTAGCAGCTAATCTACTGGGGAGTAAGGGAGTCAGCCTTCATCCTTCCTGGAGTTAGTTCCTAACACCAGGGATTTACACAGTCCCATGTAGTGGGTTGGGAGAAGGGATGGCACATCCATTTGGTCCTCTGTTCCCAAAAAATATGGCTGAGTTGTTTCCACTGCCCAGGCTCATGTGGCTGCTTGGGCTGATGAGCTCCCTGCTACTTCTGTATCCCACTAGGGGCACAGGAATTTGGGGTGGGGTGGCGGTGGCTATTGCCTCATGTGCTAAGACAGTCCCTGCAGCTGTTCCTCCCAGGGGTCCTGCAGTTTCCAAGATGGTATTTCAGGGACACAAGTCACACATACCCTCAGCCTCAGGACCCACTGATCTCTGTTTGTCTTCCTCCTGCCCCGGGGCAATCTCCTTTTCAGTCTAGGGAAAATCTGTCTTTTCCATGTTTTTTCCTCACACTGTGCCCCCAAACACAAATTAAACCAGAGCCACAAACTCAAATGCCTTCAGGGGCCACTCAGGGATGTGAAACAAGTAGTGGGAACTGTGGCAAATTGAGTTCATTTGTCCATTTGCAGCACAGGTGCACGCGGCCACTGCACATTTGTGATTCCCCCATCCGTGGGATAGGGTTGGTGGCAGGAAGTGGCTGCTCAGACCGGCTTCATGTTTCCCAGCTCCCCTTGCATCTAGGTGAGCCACATGACTGGGTCCCCCCAGTGGAATGTGGGCTAAGTGGATGTGTGTCACTTTCAGGCCAGTGCGGTTAAGAAATGGGTGTGCTTCTCCACTTCCTTTTTCCCATTCCACAGGCTGAAAACAAAAAACTCCCTGGCCCCTAAGGACAGTGGAGACACAGCAAAGAGGGAGCCCCAGGTCCCTGAATCACCTGCACCAGACTTGTCATATGTAAGTGAGAAATCGACTTCTTTTGTGCTATGTCACTGAAATATGAGAGGCGATTTGTTATGGCACTCATTTTATCCTAATTAATATGCCATCCTAAATGCAACAGCTGAAGTTCAGATCCAGCTGGTTGTTGCCAAGTAGGCAAATGAAGTTGCTTGAGCTATCTTCACATTTTGAAATAAAACCCAGGAAACCAGATTTTTATGTGACATCTCATTTTTAAACATCTACAAATGTAAATTTCAGCAAAACACTGTACAAATCAATATTTTCAGGGGCAAACTCCAGCTTATCTGAGGCCTTCTTTAGCTTACAGGTAACAAGTTCTCCAAAGGACTGTTTATAGTGTTCTGCCCCCAAATTTCCTCTGGTTCAACAAGGAACACTCTCAGCTAAGTGCTTGAATAAAGCAGCAGCAAAGGAGGAAACATAATTTAATCTCAAAATATTATTTTGTCCTTCTTGCCTATTTTGCACTGATCTGTAAAGACAGTCCAGAGGAACCCCTGCATTGCAGGAGGGATCCTCCCCTCTTAGAAGATTCTCATTTAGCAGGTACAAAGAAGCTTCTTTATGAAATATATATTTTGTAAAAAGGCAGAAATGCAATTTTCACAAGTATTATTCATTGAGTACTTCTATATGTGAAAGATGCTGGGCTCTGCTGCGACTCCCAGTCAGATCCAGCCATCCTGTTTAGAGGGGAGTGAGAAGAGAAGCAGGCAACATTGTTGCGCAGGGGAGAAAATCTATTTGGAATGAGACAAGATTATTCCTGCCGCCCTTTTTGTAGTTGGAGCTAAAGATCCTTTTCCCTTATCATTATTTCCAGAGAACATGAGGAAGGAAAGCTGGGCACGGTGGCTGACGCCTATAATCCCAGCACTTTGGGAAGCCTAGGCAGGCGGGTCACTTGAGGTCCGGAGTTTGAGACCAGCCTGGCCAACATGGTGAAACCACATGTCTATTAAAAAAAAAAATTAAAAATTAGCCTTGCATGGTGTCTCACACCCGTAGTACCAGCACTCAAGAGGCTAAGGGGGGAGAATCGCTGCCCCCAGTTCCAGCAACCACCATTCTACTTCCTGTCTCTATGAATCTGACCACTCTAAGTACCTCTTGTATGCAGAATCATACAGAATGATTGATCCTGGGAGGCGGAGGTTGCAATGAGCCGAGATTGCACCACTGCACTCCAGCCTGGGTGACAGAGTGAGACCCTGTCTCAAAAACAAACAACAATTTTAAAAAGTGGGAGAGAGGCAGTAATCATAGTTTGTGTAGCAAAAAGAAACCAAAATCCAAAATCCTATTACTTTCTTTATTCTGACCCCAACAGATAGGAGAAGATATCCATCCTACTCTCTTTACCTCAATTTATTTCCTTACCTACTTTGCTTCATTTTTTTATTGTGATAAAACATGCATAACTAAAATTTACCATTTTCAAGTCTACAGTTAAGGGGCAGTAAGTACAGTTACATTTTTGTGCAATCGTCACCACCATCCACCACCAGAACCTTTTCATCCTCCCACACTGAAACTCTGTACACATTAAGCTATAACTCCCTCCACTCCCCAGCTCCAGCAACTACCCTTCTACTTCCTGTCTCTATGAAATTGACCACTCTAAGTACCGCCTGTAAGCGGAATCATAAATAATTTGCCCTTTTGTGTGACTGGTTTATTTCACTTAGCATAATGTCTTCAAGGTTTATCCATCGTGCTTCACATTTTTTTTGGTAGAGATAGGGGTCTCACTATGTTGCCCAGGATGGTCTCGAATTCCTGCCCTCAAGTGATCCTCCCATCTTGGTCCAACAAAGTCCTGGGATTACAGGCATGAGCCATCGCCTCTCGCCGCATTTTGCTTTATTTTTAAAGATTATTATAGATCTTTAAAAGATCTGCAAGCTTTGCACAAGTGAAATCCCTAAAGAGGTTACTTAAGAGGCATGCTGTCTGTGGACTAGTGGGCAGAATTATACGGGGGATGCACACTGCTTCTACTTCTTACATCCTAAAAAGATTCCAAAGTGGAAAAAGCATCAGAATTTATTTTACTTTTTTTTTTTTTTTTTTTTTTTAAGAGAAAGGAGCACAACTCCTGGCACCATCCCTGTAATGTGTTTACACACTGGTATTCTCCACTCTTAGCCCTGCTGGCTCTGCTCGTACGCGAGTGCATTTTTGGGATCAGCACTCTTCATGAGGGCTGCCTCACAGAAGGGTTCCACGTGGAAGCCTGAAAACAAGCCACAGATCACTCGTTTCACCACCTGTGCAAAGTCAATACGTGCCTATTTCAGACAACCATCCAGTCTGTTTGAGAACGACTTTTGTAGAGTTGATAATCTGTGGGTTGTTTTGTTCTTTCCTTTTCTTTGTGAGG